ACACATATTTATTACTAAGGTCAGATGTATATGTCTATATTTACAATAGTTACGAGGAGATAATGAGTGAGTGAGTGAGTTACATGTAACGTCACATCGGCATTATGTCAGCCACGTGGCGACATGCTGAATTGACAAGGTGATGCTTATATACTATGTGTAAATTAAAGCGATTGTACGACTCAGGCTAAATCACGAGCATGCATTTATAAATCAGTATTAAATAGTGATGGTATCAGGTGTTCGCGAAAAGGTGAGCGTAGTATGCCACACCGGTGGCACAACACATGCAAAGGCAAGTCAATTGTTCATCTGAAAAAACACGGGAACATATGGTAAAAGTCAATAATAGGGAATTGCATCGGACATCATTCTTGTAATTGATGCGTTAAAGTAAGAAATTAGCATGAAATTAGATTATTTACAGACCGCCGTCATACAGCTGGAATATTGCTGCGTACGGCGTTAAACAACAATCAAACAAACACACCGTGAGGGAATGATGACGCACAATCAGTCATGTCTCACACTGTAGCTATCTTCAAAAGGCGAATACAGGGAATCTTTTCTCTTGAATCCCCAGGAGTTATCTTGAATTCCTTGGTCTATCGAAGGCCCTTGTTTAAGACTTGTTCTCCCACGACTGATGAGGTTAAAGGCGCAGTGGGCCATATTCATAATACATCACGTCGACCTGTAAATATTAAACGTCATATCCAGTGAATAATGTTATATGGCAGTGTATTTTATTGTCGTCAGGAAGTTAGTATATTTTGATGCTAGTGTGGTGTGTAAACTTCCGGTGATTGAGCCTAAACGGCAAAACAGCGTGAAAATCATATGGATGTATCACTGGAAATCACTGATGACACCAGGTGTTGGAACAAGTGATAGAAAAGATGAGCAGTGGTCCTGGCTATCGGGTTGCTGTAGCTCAGTCAGCCAGGTCACGGCGCATGGTCAGCCACATCCAGTGTGCTGGGCTCCTGGAGGGTCCTGGGAACCTTCTCTGTGCCCGGACTCACCACGGGGCAGATCAGCCACATCCAGTGTGCTGGGCTCCTGGAGGGTCCCGGGAACCTTCTCTGTGTCCGGGCTCACCACAGGGCAGATCAGCCACATCCAGTGTGCTGGGCTCCTGGAGGGTCCTGGGAACCTTCTCTGTGCCCACTCACCACAGGGCAGATCAGCCACATCCAGTGTGCTGGGCTCCTGGAGGGTCCTGGGAACCTTCTCTGTGTCCGGGCTCACCACGGGGCAGATCAGCCACATCCAGTGTGCTGGGCTCCTGGAGGGTCCTGGGAACCTTCTCTGTGCCCGGACTCACCACGGGGCAGATCAGCCACATCCAGTGTGCTGGGCCCCTGGAGGGTCCTGGGAACCTTCTCTGTGCCCACTCACCACAGGGCAGATCAGCCACATCCAGTGTGCTGGGCCCCTGGAGGGTCCTGGGAACCTTCTCTGTGTCCGGGCTCACCACGGGGCAGATCAGCACTGATGACGAGTACTGTGGAGAGGCTGCTAACCTCAGATTACCTACAATGATAAAATAATATGTTTCACTACATCCAGTTCTCATGTACTTCACATTATTAACACTCAACACTCTTCATCAGCAACCGTGAAGACATGCAAGGTACGAGTTGTTATAAACAAACGTAATCTACCCTGCGGCCACGCAGTTGTCATCGTCCGGTCGAAACTATCGACGTTATCAAGAGAAACACCTTCACTCATGTCATACAGTGGCATTATAAGCGCGTTACGTGCAGGAATGAATGAGAGGACTGTCGGCACTGGGGACTGATAACTGAATTACGATTATAATAAACCCTTCTTTTGATGTGTGTCGTGCGAAGGAACATTTCTCTGCTCCGACTGCGAAGACAGGGGCTATTTTTTAAATTCCAAATTATTACGTGTGTCGATGCATTTAGTTATCAAAGCTGATTTTCTGGGCGTGATTACCGGAGAAATATTTAAACAGTAAAGGGGCTGAACGTAAATATTTTCCCAAATCAGAAAATATCTTTCCAGATGCGCTCGTATGATTTGAAGAAGATGAAATTAGAATTGGAGAGAAAACAGTTGTTGGTTTATGTCCCAAATAAACCTTATAGTGTGCGAGAATAGCACTCATGGTGATCTGTCTGTTAGGTGCGCATCTCATAGATCCATCACGTGAGAAGGTTTCAACCGTTCCATTTTTAAGAAATTAAGTGTGGCATTCATAATGAATTGCGTATAATACAAAGTGAAGGTATCATGTTCACAGAAGGATCTCTGGAAAATTAGTTAACACCATGAAAATTGTGATGTAAACAATTTGAACGAATCCACATGTCTTCATGTACAGAGGTAAAAAAATGTTAACTCCAACGTTTCCTCGTTTACGACAGTACAATCTGAATTGACGTTAGAGCAGAAAGTAACGAGTATAAACAGAACAAATCTTTCAGTAGATAATATGGGTACTGACTTGTCAGTGAGTAGTCAGGAGTACTGACTTCTTAGTAGATAGTAAGACATACTGACGTATTAGAAGTATGTAACGTGTACTGACGTAATAGTAGAATGTATGCATATATACCAACGTCACTGTTGAAGAAGGGTCGCTGGCTTTTGAAGATTGTAAGGAGTTCTGAGGTAAAAGATTGTATGGAGGACTGACGTTGAAGGAGACTGTATGGAGGACTGACGTTGAAGGAGATTGTATGGAGGACTGAGGTTGAAAGAGATTGTATGGATGACTGACGTTGAAAGAGATTGTATGGATGACTGACGTTGAAGGAGATTGTATGAAGGACTGACGTTGAAGGAGATTGTATGGATGACTGACGTTGAAGGAGATTGTATGGAAGACTGACGTTGAAGGAGATTGTATGGAGGACTGACGTTGAAAGAGATTGTATGGATGACTGACGTTGAAAGAGATTGTATGGATGACTGACGTTGAAGGAGACTGTATGGAGGACTGACGTTGAAGGAGACTGTATGGAGGACTGACGTTGAAGGAGATTGTATGGATGACTGACGTTGAAGGAGATTGTATTAGGGACTGACGTTGAAAGAGATTGTATGAAGGACTGACGTTGAAGGAGATTGTAAGGAGGACTGACGTTGAAAGAGATTGTATTAAGGACTGACGTTGAATGAGATTGTAAGGAGGACTGACGTTGAAGGAGATTGTGTCGAGTACTGACGTTGAAGGAGATTGTATGGATGACTGACGTTGAAGGAGATTGTATGGATGACTGACGTTGAAGGAGATTGTATGAAGGACTGACGTTAAATGAGATTGTAAGGAGGACTGACGTTGAAAGAGATTGTTTGGAGTACTGACGTCGTAGGAGATTGTATGGATGACTGACGTTGAAAGGGATTGTGTGGAGTACTGACGTCGTAGAAGATTGTATGGATGACTGACGTTGAAAGAGATTATATGGATGACTGGCGTTGAAGGAGATTGTATGGATAACTGACGTTGAAAGAGATTGTATGGATGACTGACGTTGAAAGAGATTGTATGGATGACTGACGTTGAAGGAGATTGTATTAGGGACTGACGTTGAAAGAGATTGTATGAAGGACTGACGTTGAAAGAGATTGTATGGATGACTGACGTTGAAGGGGATTGTATGGATAACTGACGTTGAAAGAGATTGTATGGATAACTGACGTTGAAGGAGATTGTATGGATGACTGACGTTGAAGGAGATTGTATGGATGACTGACGTTGAAGGAGATTGTATGGAGGACTGACGTTGAAGGAGATTGTATGGAGGACTGACGTTGAAAGAGATTGTGTGGAGTACTGACGTTGAAGGAGATTGTATGGATAACTGACGTTGAAGGAGATTGTATGGATGACTGACGTTGAAGGAGATTGTATGGATGACTGACGTTGAAGGAGATTGTATGGATGACTGACGTTGAAAGAGATTGTATGGAGGACTGACGTTGAAGGAGATTGTATGGAGGACTGACGTTGAAAGAGATTGTGTGGAGTACTGACGTTGAAGGAGATTGTATGGATGACTGACGTTGAAGGAGATTGTATGGATGACTGACGTTGAAAGAGATTGTATGGAGGACTGACGTTGAATGAGATTGTAAGGAGGACTGACGTTGAAAGGGATTGTGTGGAGTACTGACGTCGTAGGAGATTGTCAGAAGGACCAACGCGGTAGAAGATTGCAAGGAGAACTGGCGTTATAGAAGATTGTAAGGGTTTGAATCAAAATATGCTCTGTGACCGATTTCAGAGAAAATTGATTGGCCATAACAATCTGCGAGTCTTGGCTCAAACTAACGCAAAAAACCCACTCACACACACACATCAACGACCATAAACATAATATATTCGTTTAAACATATCAAACCCAGGTAACCCGACCAAAATAACATGTCGTAACACTGTGCCGGACATCTATAATAATTTGAACGGCGTTTCAACGTAGACATAACATTTACCACATTGTTCTGAAGCACCAACATTCGGACGTTTATTACAAGATTTCACATGAAATTGTTCAGCAGCAGCCTATTGTTATGTTGGACTCAATCAGCATTCCAGTATGAATAAATCTTGTGTGTTTCGACACCTTTACAACATAATCAAATCCTGTTCAGAGTGTTGAACTTACATAAAAACTAAGTTCTTGAGTGTAATGTATTTCTAATATGGACATCACGAAAATGCCGTTTTACAAGGAAACAACCTTTGCGTAACGAGTTGAATACAAGAGTAGATGTGCTCATTTTCTCAATTAGGAACCAGGATATATTTAGTAACAATCATTCCTACACATCTTCAAACTAAAACGAGGTGGCAGTATTTCCATTCATCATACTCCCGTGATGTCGCACTGGCCCTCCATGCAAGGATTTGCAAGGCTCTTACTTGGTGCCTGTTGGTATTTCTAGAATCTGCCACGCTCATTCGTCGGATGTTGGTTCCTTTCTGTGTTTTATTCTTATGACCAATACGTTTGTTGCAGGATGTTGATGACGTAGCGAGGGAGCTGACATGAGCTGTTTCTCCGTATTCCGCGCCATCACTGTACGTCTGCTCTTCTCAAGTCACGGCGCCATTTCAATATGGCGGTTGTACGTGGTGACGAAGGACCAGCGTTTTTGGTACCTTGCGTGTGCGCTAGGTCTGCTGTTACTGGAGATGACGGTCACCCTTGGGAAGAAGGGAGGCAAGGAGTGGAAATGGTGAGTTTAATATATAAAATTGTTTTGTTTTTTCTTGTGCTTTGTCAAAATGTTTCGTTTAAGAATTTATTTTCGTTTTGTGTAAGTTCATTAGAGTATGAACCTTTATAAAGTGGGGCTATACTGTATGAACGTCAGATCCCTGTTTTGTATCTCGGAGGATGTAGACACAATTTCATTAAGTACGCATGGCTTCATGTTTACACTGACAGCAAACAAACAACTGTAGCGTGGAATAAGTTTAGATCCTTAAAAGTACGAGGTGACATCAGCGTGTGATTCAGAATTAAAAGGCATTTCCTGAGGAATAAGGATGTTGTCCGTCAGTGTTTACGTCATTTCAAGAAACCAATCCCGTGAAAAACGTATAAACGTCAAACTGTGTCGCGCATACACTTATGAACTTCAGGTTCGAGGTCATGTGATCGCCCTCTCGTCCAATGGAAAAGGCGTATATCCTGTAAATTATCATAGTCTGGGCGACTCTTCATATTTAACTAGATTAAAGAAATATTTCACAATATTAATGTGCGGTATGGTTGATATATACGTTTACGCTTTTCTGCCTCTTATGTATTATTGTTTCTATTTTTGTGATTTTAAAGTCAACCCCCATATATCTGTCTAATATATATGTTCACCATATTAGACAGAAGTCGGTCATGTTAGCACTCACCCCCATCCCTATCAGTCTTCCAAGAACACACACACAAAAGAAATCATGTGAACTTCTTGATGCTACAATTTCAACTGAGTGTTTCATGTCATTAACCGCATGCATTAATGTCTAGCAACTGGCTTGAAAGAGATGCTTCGTGTGATTTTATCCGTGAAAGATTTAAGTGTCAAAGTGTGAAAATCAATGGTTCAGACCATCTTCCCGAGGCAAGAGAGTTAACTGACTTTAAAAGTCCACCGGTGGTTATAACGAGTTATGTCACTTCTTAACCTCTCCTATGGACCAATCAGATTCCATCACTTGAATTTGTTTCAAACAAAATGGCGGCGCCCAGTCAAGACGATCTGATGGGTAATCGAGATCTATATTGTGATAAAACGGGTCTTATATCGCGAAGTGCATCAAATCACGTGAGCTCCTTGATTAAAAACATGAAAAGGTTTAGAAAATGTCTGTTGACAACGAGTTGGCGGTGCACATGCAATGGACCGAAATCTGCACGACAGTTTACGAACCGGATTTCGATTTCATTGCGCGATTGTGATTGGTCTATGCATAGACTCGTTAGTCTAGCCAAAATGTAACTCCAACATACCAGCCTGGTGCGGCAAGGGACTTTTATAATCAGTTAACTCTCTTGCCTCGGGAAGATGGGTTTAGTCAGGCTTATGATATGTGATTAGTTAGAAAATGAAGTAGGCACTGTTTCTTTGCAATGAGGATTTCAATTTGACTTGAGACAATAAGTAACAGACCACAGAATTAATGAAAAGGCACTCGCGAATTTTCAGTCACCCTCTTGTCGCTCTTATGTAGGTACAGCCAGCCTTCTAGAATATGTCCCGAAACTTCTCAAACGATTAAGCCTGCCATGGTCTCTTGTACAACAAGGGCGGATAACTCTAATTCCAGTCTGGAAATCTTCCTTCGTCGCCGCTGTTGACTGGCCACGACAGCACTTACTGTCTTACTGAGTATTTCAATAAGCTGCGGCCACTGACAAGTACTACACATATACTGAACCGCAAAAGAAACGTCACCATGGATAGATATATGAGAAACCTCATTTGTCCAAACACTGTAAACATACTGCGAGGCATATTAAAAAGATGAAACTTGGCATAACTGATCATGAAGGTTTAAATTAAAGTGTCAAATGTTCTTAAAGTGAAACACAACACTGAGAAAATGGCATCACAAGTCAGTATCTCGTGGGTACGCCATGTGCATTGATGACTGCCGTGCAACGTCGATACACGCTGAGGAACGCCTGACGCATTTCAGCTGCAGTTTTCGGCCTTGTTCTTGTCCGACAGGTGCTCAATGGGATTTAAATCAGGACTGAGGGCAAGCCACTGCATGGTTCTCACGCCATTCTGCTGGCGGAAGACTCTTGTTGCTCTCGCAGTGTGGGCACGGGCGTTATCATGCTGAAACTCGTGGTTGCGGCGACGTTCCAAATGAGGTATGGCGTGTGGTCTCAAGACTTGATCAATGTACCGAGCTGCTGTGACACCATTGCCCCTCCCAGGACCGACGTTCTGGAAGACCCCTGGGCCGACCAATTCCACCCAACACCATGATGCGCGGACCACCCAACGAGTCTCTCTCAACAACACAAGCATCCGAATAACGTTCCCCGCGGCCTCGCCGGGCTCTCTCTGACATCTGCTGTTGAGATACAGTAACGGCTCTCGTCTGAGAAGAGGACTCTTCTCCACTGCTGGTGGCGCCAAGGCTGGTGCTGTGTTGCCCACTGAAGACGGTCCCGGCGATGACGTGGTGTCAGAATGGATCCACGGTGTGGCCTGTGACAGTGGAGGTGTCTGCTCGTCAATCGTCGACGCACGGTGTCCGGACTAATGTGTCGCTGGTGGGTCCCCATGGTCTGTCGAGCAGTTTCCGCAGCAGTGACAAAGCGATCTTGAAAATGCTGTCGCACAATCTGACAATGCTGACGTCGGGGGGTGACCCTCGGTCTTCCACTACGTGGTCGGTCATCTGTAGTGTTGGCGGTCTAGTAACGTTGCTGGAGCATGTATATTGTCTTCACGTGGACATGACATGCATTGGCACCTTGCCGGGCGGTTTTGTCCAGCTTGCAGTCGTCCAAGGGCATGGTGTCGCTGATTTCTTGTCAATCTTGGCATGTGGTAGCAATTCAATAACGAATGAATGTTATCCGATCTGGGTGGATTTTTATAGGACAAGAAATGGGGGAACGCATGTGCATTTCCATTAACGTGCATCGGGTTACCATAGCCGTTGCCGTGATGCGTTTGGGCGATTGTCATCTGCTTTGTTTTTTTATCATCAAATTTCATTTTTCCGGACAAGGTAATGTTAAATTTTTGAACTTTGACAAAAATTACCCAGATATTTAAATGACAACTTTTCATGTAATGTTACTTGGGGTGACGTTTCTTTTGCGGTTCAGTATATACACTAACATTACTTACAAACAACACTATAGATATCATTACGCTAGGATACAGCTAAACGCATGTCCATAGTACATCTGCTATCAAAAGATGCGACAAATGCGAGGATCGGTTGACCAATATGTCTGCTGAGTATGGAGAATACATGATGTGTTTATTCATCTACAACAGCAATGCACCGACACAATATAAATGTTAAACAAAATGAATAATTTTAACCGCTGCCATTAACTTAAAGAAACCTGTATATCAAGGCTTTTTGTGTGAAATTGTCAGTGTGGCACAACTGGTTTTCAATACACTGTTTTGTGGCGAAAATAGCCACGCAAATTCATAGTCATATTCATTATGGGGCAGTGGGGTGGCACAGTGGTTAAGCGTTGGCTTGTGTGAAGCCCATTCTGGTGGTGCCTCGTCCTGATTTCCCACCTTTAGTGATAATATTGCAAAAATAATCAAAGGGCGTTACACTCACTCACTCACTCACTCACTCACTCACGGTTCCAGGTTCTGCCCAAGCGTCCTTATCTATCTGATGTGTGTGGTTCCTGCCATCTGGTTCTTGGAGCTGAACGAGATGGAGAGACGGATCCAGTTCTTGGCAGCGAACAACGGCAGCATCTTGCCACAGAATGAGTCTATGGAGGAGATGAGTGCTACTCTTGGAAGTGCATTTGGTGTGAGTACAATGATGGGTACTCTGTGAGCTTACCGCTCCAACTGCACTTAGCAGTCACTTAATTGTGGTCAACTTGACTTTCACGATTCTTGAAGTAAAGGCGATCAGAAAGATTTATACCACTTAGGTGTGAAACATATATGGATGCATCCTCACTTTTCTTGATACACGTTGTTCAACATCTTTGAAACATGTAAAGGGGTTTATCGAAAATGCATCCAGTAGAGTTCGTTGATTTCCCAAAGGACGATATTTACCATGTTTTCACATGACAATCTCTTTGAGACGTTTGAGTAAAATTATCCAAAAGCTGATTCTCAAAATAATAATTTAAACCTTGGTATTAATCAGTCCATTTACCTGTTTAGGTATAGGCAATCAATCAAACAATTTTCCAAGACTTGTCCGAAGAGCGCATGTTAGTTACATGTTTTGAGGAGCGGAAGGTGTATGTTAAACTTGCTCACGTGGCATATCGAGTAGGACAGCCCACCTGCAACACTCGATGACCCTTCCAGACCCACTGATGTAGAGAGATAATCATGTTTAGGCGCTTGATGTTTTTCTGGTTGTTTAAAATACACTTAAAATCCTCTTTGCAAAATAGGTGTAAATAAACATAGCCTGTAGGATAAATGAGAGCTGTGTTGAACGTGATGGAGTCGGACAGAGAACAGTTGGTGGGTGATGGTTTTGACGCCGGATGCATGTTATACCCCTCTTTACTGCAAGGTGGTGATGTACGTTTCTAAGACGAGCATTTAAAAAGCCATAAAGCGAAACCGTGTACGTACTTCCCGACGGAATATATGTACTACATGTGTTGTTTGCTTATAGGGCACAAAAGGTGCCGTGATGATTCCGAGTTAGAATTGGTCTTCAGCAACACATGCTTGTCGTAAGGCGCCTAACGGGATCGGGGGGTCATGCTCGCTGACTTGGTTGATGCATGTCATCGTAACCCAGTTGCGTGGATCGATGCCCATGATGTCAATCACTGGATTGTTAGCTCCAGAATCAATTATTTACAGATCGCCGTCATATAGCTAGAATATTGCTGAGTGCAGCGTTAAACAACAAACAAACAAACAAAAGCAACATAGGGGTGTTTTGAAAGTATACGTGAGTGAGTGAGTATTGTTTTACGCCGCTTTTAGCAATATTCTAACAATACCTCTGCCGGAGACACCAGAATTCGGCTTCACATATCGTACCCAAGTGGGGAATCAAACCCGGGCCTTCGGCGTGGCGACCGAACGCTTTAACCACTAGCCTTACCCACCGCCCCGAATACATATGTCGATGTCAAACAAAGAGAAGTTTTTAAAGTGAATATGACGCCGTTGTAATATATTTATGTGATGCATTAAAAAGTTCATGCATTAAAACATGTTCGAGCTGACGTCATATACATAATAATGTCTGAGAGAAGACTACGCGAAACGACGCGAAACGCGGTATGCATGTAAAAAGCGTCTAACACTCATCATTCACCTGAATGTGCCGATCCCATGGATGAAGACTATCAACTGTGAAGTAAAATTGTAACTTGAACAAATTAAACATGCCTTTGTTTTAAGATATCACACTCGAGAAACTATTAGGTCCGGAAAGCATAGGATAGACAGTATCGGCTTGGCATTTGCTTATCAACAAAACAAGCTAAATCAGCTTCCCTGCTAAAGTCGTCGTGTACATAGTTACTTATAAACAGCACCACTTGTTCTCCTATATATATTTAATATGCATAAATTTTCGAATTTGTAGTTATTCACAACATCACTGGTTCTCGTATATTTCTTACGCAAATCGTAACTAGTTGTCGCCTATATAATTATTCTACACAACTTCCTTGTTATCGTAAATTGTTAGTTGTTCAAAGGGTATCTATTTCTCGTATACATAACCATACCCAACTTTACTAGTTCTCGTATACATAATCATACCCAACTTTACTTATTCTCGTATACATAACCATACCCACCTTTACTAGTTCTCGTATACATAATCATACACAACTTTACTAGTTCTCGTATACATAACCATACCCACCTTTACTAGTTCTCGTATACATAATCATACCCAACTTAACTAGTGTTGTTTACATAATCATACACAACTTAACTAGTTCTCGTATACATAATCATACCCAACTTAACTAGTGTTGTTTACATAATCATACACAACTTAACTAGTTCTCTTTTACATAATCATACACAACTTTACTAGTTCTCGTATACATAATCATACACAACTTTACTAGTTCTCGTTTACATAATCATACACAACTTTACTAGTTCTCGTATACATAATCATACCCAACTTAACTAGTGTTGTTTACATAATCATACACAACTTAACTAGTTCTCTTTTACATAATCATACACAACTTTACTAGTTCTCGTATACATAATCATACACAACTTAACTAGTTCTCGTATACATAATCATACCTAACTTTACTAATTCTCGTTTACATAATCATACACAACCATTGTTGTTTACATAATCATACACAACTTTACTAGTTCTCGTATACATAATCATACCCAACTTAACTAGTTCTCGTATACATAATCATACCTAACTTTACTAATTCTCGTTACATAATCATACACAACCATTGTTGTTTACATAATCATACACAACTTAACTAGTTCTCGTATACATAATCATACCCAACTTAACTAGTGTTGTTTACATAATCATACACAACTTAACTAGTTCTCTTTTACATAATCATACACAACTTTACTAGTTCTCGTATACATAATCATACACAACTTTACTAGTTCTCGTTTACATAATCATACACAACTTTACTAGTTCTCGTATACATAATCATACCCAACTTAACTAGTGTTGTTTACATAATCATACACAACTTAACTAGTTCTCTTTTACATAATCATACACAACTTTACTAGTTCTCGTATACATAATCATACACAACTTAACTAGTTCTCGTATACATAATCATACCTAACTTTACTAATTCTCGTTTACATAATCATACACAACCATTGTTGTTTACATAATCATACACAACTTTACTAGTTCTCGTATACATAATCATACCCAACTTAACTAGTTCTCGTATACATAATCATACCTAACTTTACTAATTCTCGTTACATAATCATACACAACCATTGTTGTTTACATAATCATACACAACTTTACTTGTTCTCGTATACATAATCATACACAACTTAACTAGTGTTGTTTACATAATCATACACAACTTAACTAGTTCTCGTATACATAATCATACCCAACTTAACTAGTGTTGTTTACATAATCATACCCACCTTTACTAGTTCTCGTATACATAATCATACCCAACTTAACTAGTGTTGTTTACATAATCATACACAACTTAACTAGTTCTCGTATACATAATCATACCCAACTTAACTAGTGTTGTTTACATAATCATACACAACTTAACTAGTTCTCTTTTACATAATCATACACAACTTTACTAGTTCTCGTATACATAATCATACACAACTTTACTAGTTCTCGTTTACATAATCATACACAACTTTACTAGTTCTCGTATACATAATCATACCCAACTTAACTAGTGTTGTTTACATAATCATACACAACTTAACTAGTTCTCTTTTACATAATCATACACAACTTTACTAGTTCTCGTATACATAATCATACACAACTTAACTAGTTCTCGTATACATAATCATACCTAACTTTACTAATTCTCGTTTACATAATCATACACAACCATTGTTGTTTACATAATCATACACAACTTTACTAGTTCTCGTATACATAATCATACCCAACTTAACTAGTTCTCGTATACATAATCATACCTAACTTTACTAATTCTCGTTACATAATCATACACAACCATTGTTGTTTACATAATCATACACAACTTTACTTGTTCTCGTATACATAATCATACACAACTTAACTAGTGTTGTTTACATAATCATACACAACTTAACTAGTTCTCGTATACATAATCATACCCAACTTAACTAGTGTTGTTTACATAATCATACACAACTTTACTAGTTCTCTTTTACATAATCATACACAACTTTACTACTTCTCGTATACATAATCATACACAACTTTACTAGTTCTCTTTTACATAATCATACACAACTTTACTAGTTCTCGTATACATAATCATACACAACTTTACTAGTTCTCGTTTACATAATCATACACAACTTTACTAGTTCTCATATACATAATCATACCCAACTTAACTTGTGTTGTTTACATAATCATACACAACTTAACTAGTTCTCGTTTACATAATCATACCCAACTTAACTAGTGTTGTTTACATAATCATACACAACTTTACTACTTCTCGTATACATAATCATACACAACTTAACTAGTGTTGTTTACATAATCATACACAACTTAACAAGTTCTCGTTTACATAATCATACACAACTTAACTAGTTCTCTTTTACATAATCATACACAACTTTACTAGTTCTCGTATACATAATCATGCACAACTTAACAAGTGTTGTTTACATAATCATACACAACTTTACTAGTTCTCGTATACATAATCATACACAACGTTACTTGTTCTCGTATACATAACCATACACAACTTTACTAGTTCTCGTATACATAATCATACACAACATAACTAGTTCTCTTTTACATAATCATACACAACTTTACTAGTTCTCGTATACATAATCATACACAACTTTACTAGTTCTCGTATACATAATCATACACAACTTTACTAGTTCTCGTATACATAATCATACACAACTTAACTAGTTCTCTTTTACATAATCATACCCAACTTTACTAGTTCTCGTATACATAATCATACACAACTTTACTTGTTCTCTTTTACATAATCATACACAACTTTACTAGTTCTCGTATACATAATCATACACAACTTAACTAGTGTTGTTTACATAATCATACACAACATAACTAGTTCTCTTTTACATAATCATACACAACTTTACTAGTTCTCGTATACATAATCATACACAACTTTACTAGTTCTCGTATACATAATCATACACAACTTTACTAGTTCTCGTATACATAATCATACACAACTTAACTAGTTTTCTTTTACATAATCATACCCAACTTTACTAGTTCTCGTATACATAATCATACACAACTTTACTTGTTCTCTTTTACATAATCATACACAACTTTACTAGTTCTCTTTTACATAATCATACACAACTTTACTTGTTCTCGTTTACATAATCATACACAACTTTACTACTTCTCGTTTACATAATCATACACAACTTTACTACTTCTCGTATACATAAACATACCCAACTTTACTAGTTCTCGTACACATAATCATACACAACTTTACTAGTTCTCGTTTAGATAATCATACACAACTTTACTAGTTCTCGTATACATAATCATACCCAACTTAACTAGTTCTCGTTTACATAATCATACCCACCTTTACTAGTTCTCGTATACATAATCATAAACAACTTCACTATAGACTCACATTTAGTTAGTGAATTCTTATATTACATTATTCACTTCTTCTAAAAGTTAAACAAATAATTTTCCTGATGTTTTCATAGAGCTAGTTAGAGCTGGCTAGACTTGCTTTCGTATATACATGTATGTCTAAATTGTTGTTTTATTCCATAAAATAAATATATTCTACAGTCATGGTGCAGGACTAAACTTCACTAGCTCTCGTATAGACAATTATACACAACTTTACCAGTGCTATACAGTTATACACAACTTTACTAGTGCTTTACAATTATACACAACTTTACCAGTGCTATACACTTATACACAACTTTACCAGTGCTATACAATTATACACAACTTTACCAGTGCTATACAGTTATACACAACTTTACTAGTGCTTTACAATTATACACAACCTTACCAGTGCTATACACTTATACACATCTTTACTACTTCTCATATTTTTATGCACATCTTCACATCTCCACTAGTTTTCGTATATTGCTAATTACACACAACGTCACAACGTCTGCAGTGTAAACACGACGGTGGCCGCAACACCTTCCCGTGATACTACGCGGGGAACAACACCCCTGAACACGTGCACATGAGTCAGTTCTATAAAAAGACCTGACGTCTTATCTGCACCACCTGGCGCCTCAGACAGTGTCAGACAGTGTCAGACAGTGTCACTGGCAACAGCTGCCTCAGTTCCCTTGATAGACGTAGCAGCTCTGTCTTGTAGCTCATTCATTGGCCGCTGGCGGTCTGTGTATTTGTTGTAGCGGGTCCACGAGGGTGCGTCGTGTTTCATGCGTCCCTCGTTAGGTTTTATACCACTCGCCGGAGGGACGCATATACCCCGAATGATCCTGCTACAACGAATTTATCTTACCGACATGTTTTAAAATGACGTTATGAAAGAATTCAAACAAATTCAAAATTGACAGTTCAGAGCTGTTCGATTGAGCTGAGGTCAGCTTGCGCTATGTCACGTGACTTCCACTGACTCGGAAAAAGCGTGCGGCTTTTTGTTTCACAGTATTGTGTCAAGACCATGTGGACCAATCAGATCTCATCATTCTGACATGGTATGATAAGATCGTTTATCCACCAACACAAGTTTGTTTGTTTACGCCGCACTCAGCCATATTCCAGCTATATGATGGCGGTCTGTAAATAATCGAGTCTGGACCAGACAATCCAGTGATGGACTTCATGTGCATCGATCCACGCAATTGGGTTACGATGACATGCGCGCGTGCGTGCGTGCGTGCGTGCGTGCTTGTACTAGTCCGGACTGATGCCGATTGGTGCGAGCCCACTGAGATACCATGCCGCGGTTTCACATGAATACCCCACTCAGACACAGTATACTGACTCCGAGCCGACCAGTCCTTGTTTTAGCCCCTTTATGCCGAGCACCAGACAGGGTAACAACAAGTACAATCTTTCAGCGTCTTTTGGTATGACGCGGCTGGGGATCGAACCCCAGACCTTCTGCTCTCCGGGCGGTCGCTCTACCACAAGACCACGGAGGCGGTCCGATATCATAGTCTTAGTCGAGTCCGTCAAAACTTTAAATCAAGGATGTGACTGAATATTTACATGCGCGGTCAACCTGGTAATGTTAGCAAGACAGACGCACACACACACACACACACACACACACACACACACACACACACACACACACACACACACACATATAACCAAAGAAAGAAAATTAGACGAATCAACGAACGAACGACTCGGAACCACATAAACCAGGCTATGCGATTGCACAATACATTACGGTATATTTGTCATTGATAGGAATGTGTCCGAGAGTCGGGACCTGACATCTGCATATTGCATGACGAGGTCCTCAGCTTTGAAGATACAGGCTTCAAATGACATCACACCATTATCATTGTTATTGCTCTTCGTACGCATACATAATGATATCAGCACAACTTCCTCCATTCTTAATGACAGCAGCTCCGTGAGTTATGCAGGGTGCTTCGTATTGTTTTACGCTGTCCATGGTCTTTCAGATCAATCAACCGACATCGACACTGCTATTAAATCATGGCTGTTTCAGCTACCTACAATTACAATATCGAGAAAGATTGCAAGGTTAATAAATGCCATTTTCTTCAAGCATAAATAATATACAGTTTTCCATGATAACACAATCGCATTAATAATGATAACAGATGGCCTTAAGCGTGTTCCCCCTCAGCGGGGAAGAAAATGGGTAAATGACGTTAATATTAAGTTCAAAGATCGGCATCGGAGGATGCAAGGCTATAAAGCTACAGGGTAACTCACTAACTGCATGAAATATTGGGAAAACAGTGAAGGTTGTCGTAATCAAGATCTAGGGGCACGTTACGACACGATGCAGCCATCGTGGTATGTGGGATTCGATATAAACAGAATAGGATAGAGTGAAAAAATCCAGCCTGGCTCACATTTTTCGTTTGTTCAAAGAAGCTAAGTGTGAATAGGTGTGCTTCTTGGAAGGTTCATCGCAAATATACCGAGATTACGCTTCTGTGCTTTGCATTATCTCCGCTGCAGATAGAGGTTAATGAGACTTTAAGGCGTCGGCCAGAAATTGGAACGTTGAAATCTGAGAAGACAACTGTAATGTTTTTGTTTTTTATTTTCATGTTTTATGGGGTAATGTGGTACGCTACTTCAAGATAACCGTTGTATCCGTTTGCAATCTCCGTATATTTCAAGGTATTTATTTATCAATTCTTTAATCTTTAATTTGATACTATCAGGAGGGAAATACCATATTTTATTCGACCTCATTCCTCATGCTTGGAAACAAGTTCAAAATGATAACGTTTAATATGATGAGTTGGCAGAAGGTATGGCGTTAATACAAGTAACCGATGTCTTCCTAGACGTAGCCTGGGGAACTCGAGGTCCCTGCAAACATTGCTAATCGATCGGGCGAGTTAATGGATAGGGTGCTCACAATCTCAATCACTGAATTGTCTGGTCCAGGCTTTATTATTTACAGATCGCCGTCAATTAGCGGGACTATTGCCGAGAGCGGTGTTAAGCAACAAACAATCAAATAAACACAGGTTCTCAGGCGTTTAACAACCCTCTTATAACATTGTATTAGAAAAATTAATGACGTCAGGAGGCCTTCTAGTTAAGCGCGCAATTCGCTGTACCTGGTTGCGTCCCTGGAAATGCTGATCATGGTTGCAGATTCAACCATCTTATGATTCTGGTATGTCAGCACAATACCCGGTCTTATGCATTTGGATTTCACTAAGTTCTACTAGTCAACGACTTGCAACACCTCGGACTGTCATAACACGTTAATCTGATATGTTGTTATATAACGCTGAAGCCGATTCTGAAAGTACTTCATTGGCTTGAACAGCGCATCAACTTTAAAGTTTTCTGTTTTGCCCTTCAGTGCCACTCTCAAGCAGTGACCTTCTTCAACCCTATAAACCATCCAGATTTCTCATATAAGAATCACGTCTACTTCTTGTGCCTGAAGTTAAACTTAGTAGTTTTGGACAGCGAGCTTTCTCTTATCACCATTATTGTTGTTGTTGTTGTTGTCGTCGTCGTCGTCGTCGTCGTCGTCGTCGTCGTCGTCATCATCATCATCATCATCATCATCATTATTATTATTATTATTATTATTATTATTATTATTATTATTATTATTATCAACCAACTCATCTCTCTGTCCCTCACAGTTCAGGTTCGAGATCCGCATCCCGATTCTGATGACGTCAGACGAGTGGATCCGGACCCTGGAGCAGCTCCTGCTGCTGATCCTCATCCTGGGACGCTGGATCCTACCCAAGGGGAAGCTGACCCACGACCAGCTGTCACAGCTGCTCCTCGTGTACATAGGCACAGCTGCGGACATTGTGGAGTTCTTTGATGCTTTTAAAGAAGAAGTGGTGTGTATTTATCTTCAGTGTAGTTTGTTTATCAACTATTTAAACATACTGTATGAACTATTTTGTTAGTCTTGACTCTTTTAGTAATAATAATAATTGATCTTTGCGATAATTTATTTATTTATTTAATGAAAAATACTTGTGGTGAACAGATGATGAAAATGATGAAAGTGGGTCAGGATCTCAGTGTATCGGGACTTCTGATTAATTATTAACAACTGACGGTGATCTGGCAAAAATGTCTTTGACGTTTCCATATTTGTCTTACTCTGAAATCAGATGACACTCTCCAAAGTTTACTTTCCATGATAACCGTGTGAAAATGCCTCCTCTCCTCGCCATGTTCTCCCCCATCTTTCCAACACACGCGATTTCTTCTTCTAATCTGGTTTACTGACACACAACTCAGCTATTACGGAGAGTCGCTGAAATCATATCAACGAAATTTCTTTTTCTTGCTCAACTTGACACAATCTCAATTCCTATTGGTTTTCCATCGCATCCAATTTGAAGGCCATTCTCTTATGCAAGATGACATGTAGTCTGTAGGTGGTATGCATCCTCAACATTGATCGAATGCTCTTACTTATTTTGAATTCATGGTTCATTTTAGTTTTTAGCGATGATGCAAATGTAACATTTGTACAAACTTCTATTTTGAATCTATAGTGATTATAACTATACAGAACACTGAGCCAACATAACGATTTTGTGTTAAGGTTCATTCGTAGATCTGAGATGGTTTTGGAACGAACATATTTGGATTGACAAAATTCCGTTTCCACATTCGTACATTATATTAAGCTGTTTCTATTTCAGGTTCGCTACAACAAACTCCTGTGTATGATAATTCTTGGGATTTGGACTCTGAGTTTGCTTCAGTTCACGTTAGTTCTCACAGCTTCGAGAGTTCGGCGAGACCAGTCTGGGCTGGCCACAGAAAAGCCCCCTGTGAAGAAGGTGGGGTGTTGCTCCGCCGACGTGTACGGCATTGTGATCTCAATCCTCCTCCAAGATGTCCCGTTCCTGGTCCTCAGGATGCTGCTCATCTTCCGCTACGGCGTCCTCAGCTACACCAACATGTTCTTCACGTCCAAAAATACTATTGTGATAATACTACTGATCTATCGACTGGTCGTTGTTCAGGTCGAGAAATCAGAGCGTGGTCGTGTCAAGAAGCTTAAACAACATCGGTACCCTTATGACTTTCAGAGCAAGCGTTTGGCTGATTCTATGTCATTGACAGACAGCATCAGCACGTCATGCAGTAGCTACTATGACAGCAAGTCGAGATTGGTCGGCAGTGCCAGCATCCACAGCAATGGTTGGCTGGACACTCCAAGATCTCAGCGGAGACGGAAAGAAAAGCAACGGCTAGCAAGGACCTACACTTTGGAAGATTTGAATACGGATCTATAGTCGCGCGAAACTCCAATATTCGGACTCCGATAATCAGGAATCTCCGGGTGATTAATATTGGGAATATCTAACTAAAACGATAACACAGCATACCCTTGATTCATAAATTGGAAAAAGTGTTATTCCGGAAGGTTTTACCTGGATAGGTGTCGCCCAGTATTAATGGGTTCGTGGTGGTATCCGTGTGATGACGTCATCAGGAGACATTCATAGTGGTTGTCCTCCCGGAAATTTGATGATATCGTATTTTGTACCGTTATTCTGTTACAAGAAGCATACTGAGCTTATCCTTCGTGCTTGGACATCATTTGGCATTGTACGAATACCATCGCCCAGTTGACCTGCCCATGAATAATGTATGTGTAAATATTTGTTTGTTGGAAGTGGGATTTGTTCGCCTGATTCTGATCCCCTGGTTGATAATTAGGCTACGGGTACAAATTGGATTTATTCTCGGATGGTTTAGAATATGAGAATCAACAGAAATATGATACATGCAATTCTCCAAATCTGATCCTGCGTTTGTGACAAGTTTGTTATATGTACCTGACGACTATTATACTGGAAGATTGTATGGCTTCTGTATGTCGATGTTTTTGCTTGAGTCTCTCTAGATGGCCCGCATGGCAACTAGCATATGTGTACGAGGAAATGACGGAGGCGTCATATGTGTGAAAACGTTGGACATGAATACATTCATTGCATAGTAGAAGTACATTGTTTAAGATGTTGAGATATAACTCCTATATTATCAGAGATACTGGAGTACAAATGTTATCTGAGTACATATAAACACGCCTCATGAGGGGACTATATCTCATCATCCTTTCATTATTTTGCCCAGTAGTTATTTGTGTGAAAACCCGCTGGTTGAAATTACATGTAAATTCACTTTTTAGATCCGGGAACGTCTAATGCTTCGAAAAAGTTTTTTTCGTACATTCTTCAAATCCTATTGTGTTTTTGAAATCGTCCATTTCCAAAAATGTTCATTCAGATGTATTTCGTTAAAACTATTTCAATATGAAATCTGGATTGTTAATGTTCAGTGAAAATGAAAACTGGTGATAGTGTTTTTCTGTCTTTCGCCGTTTGGAAATGGCAAGCTTCTTTTGAGAATGATCACAAAAGTTGATGGGCTTCTGCAGTACCTTGGGATAGAAGTTACACGTATATTTTTCGTCGATTATTCCATCGTGTGATTGTTTCTACAGGTGTGATATATCATTGTCCAGGTGTCCATATTATCATTATATCCTTGGTCTAGACGTCATGTACCATATGTGTATCATGTTTGTATCAGCATGCATTATGTTGACGTGTGTACCATCATGTATTGTGGGCGTACCATCATGCATTGTGTGTACCATCATGCATTGTGTGTACAACCATGCATTGTGTGTACCACCATGCATTACGTGTGTACCATCATGTATTGTGGGCGTACCATCATGCATTCTGTGTGTACCATCATGTATTGTGTGTACCATCGTGCATTGTGTGTGTACCATCATGCATTGTGTGTGTACCACCATGCATTGTGTGTGTACCATCATGCATTGTGTGTGTACCATCATGCATTGTGTGTACCATCATGCATTGTGTGTGTACCATCATGCATTACATGTGTACCATCATACATCTTGTTTGTACCGTCATACAGTATGTGTGTACCATGCATGTACCATGTGTATCATTTCTGGGTGTACCCATGTGCAGGTGTCTTCAGGGTGCCAGTATCGTATTCCTACTGTGTATAATTCGTTGCTTTCATCATTCCCCAACTTGCAAGACTGCTACTACTGATACTGCTACTAGTTCTATTTTATAATTGTATGAATGGTGGGTATTTTTCTCTCTCAGAAAATTAAAATGCTTCCTGAGATTATTTGAATAATTTGAGTCGTTTTTGGAATGTCATAACTTATAGAATAGTTATGAAAATGTGTCCATGAATATGTTATATTATAACACACATGTACAATTTGGTATTGTGTTATGTGTCCTTACATTTGCAGGGAAGATATTTTAGAAATAAAACTTTAATTAACGGAGTATGGCATGATGGATGTGATATGTGAATTTTTTTATTACACACAGATTATAATGAAATACACTCCGGCCCATGTTTAGGTAATGTGAAAAACTTCCCATGTTTATCCACAGCCATGAAGCAGGACTGATCCAACATTTATCTGGTTCAAAAAGCAACGGCTGCATTAGGTAAACGTCTTTAATAACCTTCTCTACTGAAAACAACTATATCGACCTCCTGAGCGTTTCCATCATTGTCGCCTTAGATTGCTCACACGTACTTTTATGAATTTTATGAAAAAATTGTCCTGAAGTCCGTGAAATGTGTCAAGAAGTATCTTCTGGCAGTTATAGCCGTGACCCCCAGTGTGAGTGAGTGAGTTGGGTTTAACGCCGCTTTTAACAGTACTCCAGTTATATACGACGTGACAGCTTAATGTTGGAGGAAAGCCCGATGTGATGCAGGTCTCAGACGTTACCACTTCGGTGAAACCCATGAGCACGGGTATGGTGCTGACAAACCTACCTAGAAACATAATCGGGGCGAACCGGGATTCGAACCCACAATCTAGGTTTCTGGCGTGCCCAAGGGACGCAACTCTGCACAGCGAATCGGACCGAGAGCTTTGTTAGTATATTTGTATGACTTATAGCGTCCCAGGATTAGGATATTTGCATCCATTGATATTTGCAATTAACTGTTGTAACTATTTTGAACTTGCAGTGATGATAGCACGTGAAGGACGAGCATGCACTATGCTTCTATAGTCCATCATGGTAATTCATTTCGGGTTAGATCCATCGCCCTAAATGGCGGAATAAGTCAATTTATACAAGCAGTTTTTACAGAGGAAGGACAAAAACCTTCAGCTGTTAACAGTCTTTTTCCCATTATTTTCCCAGGACATTTTATTGGAGATGCATGTGTGTTACAAGTCCCAATTGTAAAGGGTTCATCAGTTGTATTTAGTTCTCAGGTATCAAATTAAGCTGCGTTTTTCCAATCTGTATGGTTTAGATTGTCGGATTGTATTCAAGGTCACGTGATCCATTTACAAATAAATAAACGGAACATCTTGACTCAGTATTCCTACCAAGGGCATGTAGGATTGGCTTCACACAATGTACCCATTTGGAGAAAAGAACCGCTAGACAACCCGATCCACCGTCCTGTTTGCCTTATAGCAATAAATTCCAGGTACGCCTATATCACTTTCCGATCTCTGAGCCAATCCTGTTCTTATCAATCATCATGAAGCCCTTGGCTGCGTTATCTGGGCCATCACTGCTGGGGGATGTTCTTGCACCCCCTGTTTTCAATTATTGCACTTGTGAAACACGCACCGTTTGTTATTGTAATGAAAAACCTACTTTATCTCAGTAAGGCTCATCGCCTGTTGAAGGGGACGTGGTATGGTAGTGTGTCTCACTTGTATGGGGATGTTTATTGTACAATGCAATCAAGTTAAGTGTGCACAATACTTGAGGATGAAACACGCGGAGATTCAGGAGCAACAGTCCTCTCATTTGCTTTATTTCGCCTTCTTGCGACATTGTTGCCGCACGCGTCCCATTGAGACTTCATTTTCTACCTTCCGCACATGACACTTAAGAGTGGTCATTCAAGTACACATCTGAGTATTCTTTTGCAGAAAAGGTCACAGGTTGGAGGAGGGTGGTAACGTCGTCCTTTCTGACTGTGTGACTGTGTGACCGCTCGTCATGAACCATCCGGTGTTTGCGGGTTAGCCGTGATACTGCTGACGTCAGCGTAAAACAAGCTCATAACAAGAACATGGAACATACCTCTTACCTGTTTCCACGCCATTTATTAAATTGGCCCAGCTCACACATTATAGATGGGCGGGGTGGTTTGGAGGACCGAAACATCTATATTTACTGTGAGTTGAGTCCCTTAGCTGCGCCAGGATCCGATGGTCGTGCGTTCGAATCCCATGTTGCTGCGAATATGATCTTCTTTGGACTTCTTCACACATGTACTGACATGCTGTTGTAGATCACCTCACTTACACCTGGTTGGGATACAATCGACCATGCTCTTTCTTCCAAGATTTCAAAGAGCGTCATACAATCGACCATGCTCTTTCTTCCAAGATTTCAAAGAGCGTCATACAATCGACCATGCTCTTTCTTCCAAGATTTCAAAGAGCGTCATACAATCGACCATGCTCTTTCTACCAAGATTTCAAAGAGCGTCATACAATCGACCATGCTCTTTCTACCAAGATTTCAAAGAGCGTCATACAATCGACCATGCTCTTTCTACCAAGATTTCAAAGAGCGTCATACAATCGACCATGCTCTTTCTTCCAAGATTTCAAAGAGCGTCATACAATCGACCATGCTCTTTCTTCCAAGATTTCAAAGAGCGTCATACAATCGACCATGCTCTTTCTTCCAAGATTTCAAAGAGCGTCATACAATCGACCATGCTCTTTCTTCCAAGATTTCAAAGAGCGTCATACAATCGACCATGCTCTTTCTACCAAGATTTCAAAGAGCGTCATACAATCGACCATGCTCTTTCTACCAAGATTTCAAAGAGCGTCATACAATCGACCATGCTCTTTCTACCAAGATTTCAAAGAGCGTCATACAATCGACAATGCTCTTTCTTCCAAGATTTCAAAGAGCGTCATACAATCGACCATGCTCTTTCTTCCAAGATTTCAAAGAGCGTCATACAATCGACCATGCTCTTTCTTCCAAGATTTCAAAGAGCGTCATACAATCGACCATGCTCTTTCTTCCAAGATTTCAAAGAGCGTCATACAATCGACCATGCTCTTTCTTCCAAGATTTCAAAGAGCGTCATACAATCGACCATGCTCTTTCTTCCAAGATTTCAAAGAGCGTCATACAATCGACCATGCTCTTTCTACCAAGATTTCAAAGAGCGTCATACAATCGACCATGCTCTTTCTTCCAAGATTTCAAAGAGCGTCATACAATCGACCATGCTCTTTCTTCCAAGATTTCAAAGTGCGTCATACAATCGACCATGCTCTTTCTACCAAGATTTCAAAGAGCGTCATACAATCGACCATGCTCTTTCTACCAAGATTTCAAAGAGCGTCATACAATCGACCATGCTCTTTCTACCAAGATTTCAAAGAGCGTCATACAATCGACCATGCTCTTTCTACCAAGATTTCAAAGAGCGTCATACAATCGACCATGCTCTTTCTTCCAAGATTTCAAAGAGCGTCATACAATCGACCATGCTCTTTCTTCCAAGATTTCAAAGAGCGTCATACAATCGACCATGCTCTTTCTTCCAAGATTTCAAAGAGCGTCATACAATCGACCATGCTCTTTCTACCAAGATTTCAAAGAGCGTCATACGACTTTCGCTCGGAACCTTGGGGCACGGGTGGCGCTGTGCAGAGTTGCGTTCCTTGGGCACGCCAGAAACCTATGATTGGTTCGAATCCCGGTTCGCCCCGATTATGTCTCTAGGTTTGTCAGCACCATACGCGTGCTCTTGGGTTTCACTGAAGTGGTAAACGTCAGAGACCTGCATCACTTCGGGCTTTCCTCCCACATTAACCTGACACACCGCGATATAACTGGAATACTATTAAAAGCAGCGTTAAACCCAACCCACTCACTCACCAAAGAAATGCCTTCTCATACACATATACAGATGTCAGAGAAGGCATATGTTTCAGCACAGGAAACGGTAGCCTTACCCAAAACCATGTTATATCTCATGCATCCTACGAGAAACGAGTGGCCTCGTAGGATACAGGGGTTGACAATATCTTTTTATATTTTTTTGGGGTACAGCTACGTATTCCTGTGGTTTCAAACAAATACATTAACTTGCTAATAATATTTGACATACTTTTAGGAAACGTTCAAAGAGGTGATTTGTTCAGCTTTAACTGCCATAGAGTTGAAAATGTCAAGTTTGTTGAATCTTTTTCCGTCACACCTCTGTTAACATGGCGATGGGATATACATGTCTGTGTGGCAACGCGTCAGCCACGAGAAAACCCTTGATTAATATAAACAATCCCAGTAACCCTGGCCCGACGCGGCTATATCTAACGTGTCAATGAGTTCATCACTGATATGAATGCGTGCATGGATCCTAAAATATTTTTAAAAGCTGAAACATTTTTATTTTGCAAAACACCTTTTAATTAATCAGACGAGGGACGTGCACTAGGATATCAACAAATTAAATCGTGCTAACACGGGAAGAGACTCGGTGTGTACACATCTTGAATGTTTGTTCGTGTATTAATTATGAAGCGAGACCCTGGAAACGTTTCATACATAAAGGCGGATGAAAGGCACATAATACTGCGCCAATGCGTTTTATTTTGCAAGGCACGCTTTGATGCAATAGATGAAAATATTTCCGTTAATTAGTCCCGGGTAACTGCAAGAACTTAGACAAGCACGTTTTTGTTGTAAAAACCAGCTAAGTAGACAGTTTTTATGTAAGGAACTATCACAGATGTAATTAATAAACGCTGTGACAGCTCTGGCGTATAATACTGGCAAATTGCACTTTAATCACTAATTGAATTTATGAGCAGGCGTCGATTATCTGACATGAAAGGCGCCGCATTCTGAAATAGATTACGTGTTGATATCCACATGCACGTGCTATTATGAAATTGACAAGGGCCCGTTAAAATATGGCCCAGTGGAACTGGGTGATGAACAACGGGTTCTGTATAAAGACATCGAGTATTTATTGGAGTCAGGGAACGCAAATAGCAATGTTTAGAGTCTCAGCCGTCTTATGTGTGTTTTATGTGTGACACATCACATTTCAAGGCCTGTATCCTGTGATCAGTGCTGCAGCATCATATTGGGAATGTTGTTTGAATACTGGTATGAAGCTAATATCGATTCACTCATTCTGTCTTGAAATGGGTTATAGACTTTGGGAGGAAGGAAAACACAGAGACAAAGGGCATAGAATGTCGCTCTGGAAAATAGCTTCCCTTAGGTGTACCAGGATCCGCTGATAGTAG